GCTAACACCGATTTTCAGTTCGCAAGCCCATGGGTGGTATGTAAAATTAGAGGTCGCGATTATGGAAGCGATGATGTGTTCATAATTACACATAATATAACTACTAACATTCTGTACAATAAAAGATATAAGGCAATAAAGTGAGATCGAGATGACAATATCCAATCCGTCCTTTTGATGGCATCATAATGTCACACTAGATTTTGCGTCTCACAGGGTTTTGACGAATTCCTGAGTGTATGCATGTATGTATGCATGTATATATGCATACATGTATGTATGTTTGTATGTTTGTATGTATATATGTATGTATTTATTTATTTATGTATGTATGTATGTTTATATGCATGTATGTATGTTTATATGCATGTATGTAAGTATGTATGTATGTTCCAAAAAATATTTTACGTCGTTTGACGTCATGCAGCAAAATACCCAGAGACATTTACTCCGTAAATTTTATGGACACCATCACGAATTGGTTGATTCATACGATGTGACTTTGTCCAAACTAACAAAGGACATTTTTATCACGTGTTAGATTGTGGTTTTCCATTACGTCGTCTGATCTTTTTAGTACCGAACGTGACTTATTCCCGATTGTGACTGTTTAGCTGTGAGTGAATTCGCATTGCTATAAGACGTGTCACGGTATTTTTCTATCCAAAATCCATGTATTAAGTTTTGATGTTTTATGTGTTATTCTCATCGGATTTTGTCAAATGTCTTATCGTTTGTATTTGTAAATCCTATTTTTTTTTTCTTTTCTATTCGTGTGTTACGGTAAAGATAATTAATCACCAAGTTAATTTATAAGATTTTAGTTTGGGTCAACTACATTTATACGATGTATTTGGTTTACAGTTTGATTTACAATAAATACCGACATAGCTTGATAATAAAATTAATTATCTAATTACTACCACAATTTTATATAAATAAGAATTGTAGTTTTCATTGTTATTAATACATGTTATATCAGTATTACAAACTTAATCTTGAACTCTATCCAATTTTTTGGAAAATTATAGAAATTTCTTCGGCTAACATATAATACGTTGTTCGGCTGTGCCTTTTTTATGTGCTGATTAAGGTTGTTTTATGTATTCGTTTTTATTCTGTAGTTAGTCACCACATCGGTGTTAACATGTATATCTATTATATAGTCATTTTTATAAATTTACTGTTTGCAAAAGTATGAATTATTCTAAATACTAAGGATGTTCTTATCCCAGGCATGTAACCACCTTAGCAGTATTTGGCACTTTTGGTCCTCAATGCTCTTCAACTTTGGCTTTCGATCTTTTTTGATCTGAGCGTCACTGATGGGTCTTATGTAGACGAAACGCGCGTCTGGCGTGTTAAATTATAAGCCTGGTACCTTTTGATAGCTATTATTTGTGTGTGTGTCTCTGTCCTGTATGTTCTACCATTTATTTGTATTGTAGTCCTGTCATGTAATCTTGTCATTTTAATGTTATATTTGACATTGCCATAAAGCGAGATGTTTGGCTAGCCACAAAACCAAGTTCAATCCACCATTTTTTTCTTAAAATGTCCTGTACCAAGTCAGGAAAATGGCCATTGTTATATTATAGTTTGTGTCTGTGTTTGTTGCATTTTAGTGTTGAGTTTCTGTCGTGTCGTTGTTCTCTTATATTCGAAGTGTTTCCCTCAGTTTTAATTTGCAACCCGGATTTGTTTTTTTCTCAATCAATTTCTGAATTTCGAAAAGCGGTATACTACTGTTGCCTTTATTTATGAACACATCAATAAAAAAGTAAAAATTTCGATCCCCTGTCAATACCTGGCTCAAATGTGTTTTACAGCATATATACACCTCATATTAACCAAATGACATGAGTGCACATAAGCAGCGACTCTGCGTAACTCCAGCCTTACACAATGGCCTCCAGACCTAAAGAGTATAAATATACTGTATAAAAACGGTGCCGCTGTGCATCCCATTTCTTAATCACTGCATCTGTGTATGATCAAGTTGCTATGCACGTACCATTTCCCCACCATATGTCCTCCAGACCTCAGAAATTTATAGTGCACATACATCCTATAAACCATTTTAAAATGTAGCTCTGCATTTTGTTTACATATATATATACCATACATTATTCAAATAACATGATTGCGCATTATTAGCGCCTCTGTATATGCGCTGGTCGCTCTGCGCATATCACTCTGCGGATATCGCTCAGCGCATATCCTCTACATGTATGTATGTATAAAATTGAAAATCGAATGTCTGTATGTCTATATGTCTGAATGTATGTATGTATGTATGAAAGTTCCAACAATTATGTTACGTCCTATGACGTCATGCAGCTTACAAATCATGTCGCCGTTATTCCACTAAAATTTATGCACATGCACAAATACAACATAGTCACTTGAATTTTATTTTCTGTATACATTTCATAGCAGCTATGTCTGTACTCAAAACAAATTATCTCCCTTAGTGCAACTCAGTTGCAGTCTAGTAAAAACCCCCTAACCCTAACCCTAACCCTAACCCTAACCCTAACCCTAACCCTAACCCTAACCCTAACCCTAACCCTAACCTAACCCTAACCCTAACCCTAACCCTAACCCTAACCCTAACCCTAAACCCTAACCCTAACCCAAACCCCTAACCCTAACCCTAACCCTAACCCTAAGCCGGTACAAGAATATCAATAAAAAGAAAGAAATATTGTCGCCTTTTATTGTTATAAATACAAATATAAGTAACCGTAAACTTATACAGCTCTCATTTTGTGTCAAATAATCCATCATTACTATAAAATGTGCATGCCGGTACAGAATAATCAGCAAAAATGGGTAGATGTTGGCACCGTTTATAGATGCCGACAACAAAAACAGCAACCTGAAACCTTTATTTCTTCACTTTTGTGTCTGACAATCCATCTGAACCTTTAGATATTACTCTATTGTGAGGCCAGTGCCAGAATATTGTAAAACAGAAGAAATGTTGTCGCTTTGAATTGTGTTTTCGACATAAATATCGGTAACCGTACAGTTATAAATCTCTCAATTTGTGTAAAGCTATACATTCTTATTGTTGTCGACAAAAGTTTTAGGAACCGTAGACTTCTAGCCGGTGTAAAACTGTCAGTCCTGAGATTCCAAAAGAATAAAATGTTTATGAGGGTCAGAAATAATCAGGAAAATGGTCGAGGGCTAACCCTAACCCCAACTCTAACCCTCATATATTCATACGCCAACTATATCACAACATTTAAATTGACACTACACCCCATTATTCTCTAATACCCTAACCCTATCCCTACCCCGTACCCCCTACCCCCAACCGTAACCCCAACTCTAAACCCAACCCTAACCCCTAACCCTAACCCCTAACCCTAACCCTAACCCTGACCCCAACCCTCATTGAAAAAGTACATACTGACTTTGAACGTTAATAACTCTGTCATTTCTCAACCGATTTGAAAGATCTTTGGCGTTTTGGAAAGTTCAGACAGACTGCTATTTGATCAATTTGTTGTAACATTGCAATCTGGTCATTTTCTGAGGCTCGTATCTTTTCCATTTATCAAGCAATCGGAAAAACATCTAAGTAAATAAGACTCGTTTTTTCAAGTTCTTTCAGGATAACCTCAGCTCGGAGACTTCATTCCTGTAAAAAAAAGTTGGGTTCAAAAATCTTCCAAATTCTTTGAAAGATTTGCAATTTTTCCACAAGAATAACGAAATCTACGTCATTTTACTACCTTAAAGCTGGAACATTTTTGTATACATAAGCTGACAAAATGCGCACGCTATTGGTGTATATAAGACGTGTATATCTAGCGGGGTTATTGAGTATCAACATGAAACGTGAGGGGTAGATGGGTACACAGGAGAGTTTTATAATTTTTTCTGGAATGACCTTAAGTTCTATTTACTTAATTCCTTTAATTATAGCTTTGAAGAAGGCTCTTTATCAATTTCGCAATGACAAGGCATTGTTACATGCATCCCAAAAGAAGAGAAATCTAAGTTTTATTTTAAAAACTGGCGTCCTATCACCCTTTTAAATGTTGATATGAAAATATGTTCCGCATCTATTGCAAATAGAATTAAACCCTTGCTCAAACATATTATTAGTGAAACACAGTTAGGATTTATTAAAGGTAGATACATTGGGGAATGTACAAGACTTATTTTTGACTTAATAGAAAGAACTGAAGAAGAAAATATACCTGGACTTTTACTCCTTTAAGTTTTTGAAAAAGCATTTGATACGCTTGAATGGTCATTCATAAATAAAGCACTTGAATTCTTAGGTTTTGGTCCGGATTTCTGTAATTGGGTAAAATCTTTATATTTCAATATCGAAAGTTGTATCATAAATAATGGTCATTGCTCTAGCTTCTTTAATATAGAAAGAGGGGTTCGTCAAGGGGATCCTTTATCCCCTTACCTTTTTATACCGGCTTTGGAACTGATGAGTGCAGCAATGAAAAATAACCCAGATATTAATGGTATTAAGATAGACAACTCTGAATATTTGCTTAGTCAATATGCAGATGACTCAACCTTATCTTTAGATGATGATGAAAAGTCGTTAGAACAATCTCTATATATTTTAGAAAAGTTCTCTGAGTGTTCTGGTTTACGACCAAACTTAGAAAAAACAGAAGCCATTTGGATTGGGTCAAAAGCACATTCAAAAGAAATAGTTCACCAAGGAGAAAGATTAAACTGGAATCAGACAGGGAAATTTAAACTCTTAGGTATAAACTATGATCTTTTTGCTGTCGACAAGACTGCCTATAATTTTGAAGAGAAAATTGAAAAGATAAATGCATTATTAAATACTTGGATTTACCAAGATCTTTCATACCTAGGAAAAATTACAGTCATAAAGTCTTTAACATTGCCAATTCTCATTCAGTCATTAACAATATTGCCAAATCCCTCTTTTGAAAATTTTAAGAAAATTGAAAATATTTTTTTTAAGTTTCTATGGAATGGTAAACCAGATAAAATCAAAAGAAATGTTCTAATTGGATCATATGATACTGGTGGGCTAAATATGCCTCATATTGAATCCTTCTGTTATGCACTGAAAATGACATGGATCTATAAATTATTGGACCCTTTCAATCTTTCTCCTTGGAAAATTCTTTTCAATGATAAATATAGAAAATATGGTGCAGATAAAATATGGATGATGAATAAGGATAGTATTAAACAAATTTCAATATATTTTAATAGATTTTGGAAGGACATCCTTCTTAATTGGGTCAAACTGAGGAATGCTGCCCATGACCAAAATGACTTTATAGGCCAACCTATTTGGTTTAATGCACTTATAAAAATTGATAATACAACTATTTTCTATGAAAAATGGTGTGAGGCAGGAATATTTTCTGTCAATGATTTACTGAATGAGAACAATGAATTTCTCTCTTTTAATCAATTTAAAGAAACATACGATATTAATACAAATTTTCTTCAATTCTATGGTATATATCATATGATCTCAAGTAGTTGGAAGGACCACATCAAAAACTGTGAAAAGAAAATCAACATTACTTGCGATAATTTAGACTATTTAAAAACAAATCAGAAATCATGCCCATATTTTTATAAATTATTTGTGTCTACTTATCATGAAAACCCCATAAAATCACAAAATAAATGGAAAGAAATTTTGCATATGGAAATAGGTCACTGGGATCTTTTCTATATGCATCCTTTCAAGTGTTCTGTGAGTAATAAACTGATCATTTTTCAATACAAAATTCTGCACAGAATTTTATGCACAAATGATCTGCTATACAAGTGTAAACTTAAAGAAACGCACCTATGCAGTTTTTGCAATGAAACAAAAGAGACAATAGAACATATTTTTTGGGAATGTTACATTGTCAACATTTTTTGGCTTCAACTAGTTGATACATTACATTCAGATAGCAATTATGAGCTTCTAATATGAAAACTAAACATCCTCCTGGGATCAGATATTATAGATATCTCTGGAAATTTTTTCACTGTTCTCATGAAGTACTATATTTATTCTTGTAGATTGACCTCACTGTTACCTTGTGTAAAGATTGCACTAAAGAAATTGAAAAATTATTATATTATTGAAAAACTTTCTTCCACCTTTCACAGTTCTCCTGCAATAGGTGAAAAAGTAGAAAAAAAAATGGGAACCATTTCAAAAATTAATTTTATGATACAAGAAAGATAACTCATACTTAACTGGAAATAAATGTGTAACACAACTGGATGCACATCACAATTGGACAGTGGTTAGTGTGCATCCTATAGATATTATATATATGTATGTAAGAATTAAATGTGAGTTACTATGTTATGATAATAAGAGTTAAAATACTGTTTTTTATATGATTTCCAGATATTGTCGGGAAGAGAAAATAACAGCAAAATACAAATGTATGTCATTATATATATAATTTTCTTTATGAGTACATGTACGAATAGAATAACTATGTTACATCAATAATAATAATTATAATCTTTTAATATCAATTTAATCATATATGAATATAAGTTAATGATTTTTTTGTTTTTTTTTTGTATGGGGAGGGGGATAATATAAACGCTGACACTGGCAGGTCAAAACAAATAAACATGTATTGTATTCTTCTTTGATAGAAAAAATGCATATAATTATTGTATGAGATGAAGAAATACAAAATAAAGAATTATAAAAAAAAAACATGAAACGTGTTTGAACAAAATCGATGAAAGACGAAATACGCCAGCTATTTCACACGGTCCAAAAGAGTTTTTCATGGTTTCTCATTCTCAGAATTAGGTGTGTGAAATTTAAAGTGTGTGGTCAACTTGCAAAGAGGAAATCAATACAGTTAAAAAAAAAAAAAAAAAAAAAAATAATAATAATAAATATAATTTAACTCAAACACTCCAGCATGAGGCATAAAATACTCGTTTATCGGACCAGTACTTAAATATCATATAAAAGAAGAAATATTGGCACTTTATATATCTGTCGACAAAGTTTTTAGTCTCCGTAGACTGAAAACTATGAACCAAAAAGAATAAAATATGATGCCGGTATGGAAAAACCAAGAATAAGGTCAATGTTGGCACCCTATATTGATGAGTACAACACATATAGCAATTTGAAACTTAAAATCCTTCACTCTAATGTCTAACAATCAATCTTGAGGTACAAAAAGTACTCAATTACCAAGCCGGTACAAGAATATCAATAAAAAGAAAGAAATATTGTCGCCTTTTATTGTTATAAATACAAATATAAGTAACCGTAAACTTATACAGCTCTCATTTTGTGTCAAATAATCCATCATTACTATAAAATGTGCATGCCGGTACAGAATAATCAGCAAAAATGGGTAGATGTTGGCACCGTTTATAGATGCCGACAACAAAAACAGCAACCTGAAACCTTTATTTCTTCACTTTTGTGTCTGACAATCCATCTGAACCTTTAGATATTACTCTATTGTGAGGCCAGTGCCAGAATATTGTAAAACAGAAGAAATGTTGTCGCTTTGAATTGTGTTTTCGACATAAATATCGGTAACCGTACAGTTATAAATCTCTCAATTTGTGTAAAGCTATACATTCTTATTGTTGTCGACAAACGTTTTAGGAACCGTAGACTTCTAGCCGGTGTAAAACTGTCAGTCCTGAGATTCCAAAAGAATAAAATGTTTATGAGGGTCAGAAATAATCAGGAAAATGGTCGAGGGCTAACCCTAACCCCAACTCTAACGCTCATATATTCATACGCCAACCATATCACAACATTTAAATTGACACTACACCCCATTATTCTCTAATACCCTAACCCTATCCCTACATCCTACCCCCAACCCTAACCCAAACTCTAAACCCAATCCTAACCCCTAACCCTAACCCTAACTCTGTACTTAGAAATATTTTTGGATGGTAGATGGGTAGATATTGGCACCTTTTGTTGATACCGACAACAAATTTTGTTATTTATAACTTGTTTTTAATCCCTTTATTGTCAAACAACCCATCAGGATGTATTTTAAAGTACTGAAACTTTAAGACCAGTACCAGAATATCATTCTAAAGAAGAAATATTGGTACTTTTTATAACTGTCGACAAAGTTTTTAGTCTCCGTAGACTAAAGACTATGTACCAAAAAGAATAAAATATGATGCCGGTATGGAAAAACCAAGAAAAAGGTCAATGTTGGCACCCTATATTGATGAGTACAACACATATAGCAAATTGAAACTTAAAATCATTCCCTCTAATGTCTAACAATCAATCTTGAGGTACATAAAATACTGAATTACCAAGCCAGTACAAGCATATTAATAAAAAGAAAGAAATATTGTCGCCTTTTATTGTTATCTACACAAATATAAGTAACCGTACACTTATACTACTCTCATTTTTTGTCAAATTATCATCATAAGAATAAAAAGTTCATGCCGGCACAGAAGTATCATCAAAAAGGATAGATATTGGCACCATGTATAGATGCAGACAACAAATACAGCAACCTTAACCTTCATTTCTTCACTTTTGTGTCCGAGAATCCATCATTTCTGATACATAAGTCAGTACAGGTTTTCTTCAATGAACTATAACTTTTGAATGCCCCAATTTATTTTCAAAATCAAGGTACTAAAATGTGCGCAATTAAATTTTCTTTATAAAACACTAAACATTTTATCAATCGGACCATTATCAACAGAGCTACGATTTTTCAAAGTTTGCCTATATTCCTTATCAGATTATCTCTCCTGTTTTACAATATGCAAATTATGTATACCGTTCCGAGAAAAATTGTTACAAAAAGACTACTATATATACAACTAAGTATATATAACTATAGGGGGACCCTTGAATCCAAAACATATCGGTGCATGCGCAAGGGTTAGGGTTAGGGTTAGAAAAAAGAAGATCCGGCTAACTTTAACCCTAACCCTATCCCTAAACCTCATATATTCATACGCCAGCCATATCACAACCCTATCCCTAACCCTTACCCTAACCCTAACCCTAACACTAACCCTAACCCTGCTTGAATAAAGCTTAAGGTTTAACGAAAAAGTAACCTTAACCTTAGCCTTAACCTTAACCCTAACCTTAACCGTAACCTTAAATAATAGCCAACATATGCTTAAATTTACCTTAAGGTTACACGAAAAGTTAACCTTAACTTTAACCTTAACCTTCAATTATAGCCAACATATGCTTGAATAAAGCTTAAGGTTAAACGAAAAAGTAACCTTAACCTTAACCTTAACCCTAACCTTAACCGTAACCTTAAATAATAGCCAACATATGGTTAAATAAACCTTAAGGTTACACGAAAAGTTAACCTTAACTTTAACCGTAACCTTAGCCTTAAATAATAGCCAACATATGCTTGAATAAAGCTTAAGGTTAAACTAAAAAGTAACGTCAACCTTAACCTTAACCTTAACCTTAACCCTAACCTTAACCGTAACTTTGAATTATAGCCAACATATCCTTCAATAAAACATAAGGTTAAACTAAAAATTAGAATTAAAATTGACCTCAACCATAAGCCTAACATCTAACTCCTACATGTACCTATCTCAATAACGATCAGTGATACCGTCACCTTAGACAACCTTGAGTAAACCCCACGGCTACCACTGTTATGATATAATCAACGTATCTTTAAATAATGCTTAAGGTTAAACGAAAAATTAACCTTAACCTTAACCTTAACCTTAACCTTATCCATAACCTTAACCGTAACCTTAAATAATAGCCAACATATGCTTGAATAAAGCTTAAGGTTAAACGAAACCTTAACCTTAACCTTTACCTTTACCTTAACCTTAACCTTAACCTTAACCCTAACCTTAACCGTAACCTTAAATAATAGCCAACATTTGCTTGAATAAACGTTAAGGTTACACGAAAAGTTAACCTCAACCTTAACTTTAATCTTAACCTTAAATAATAGCCAACATATGCTTGAATAAACCTTAAGGTTAAACGAATAAGTAACCTCAACCTTAGCCTTAACCTTAACCTTAATCTTAACCTCAACCTTAACCGTAACCTTAAATAATAGCCAATAAATGCTTAAATAAACCTTAAGGTTACACGAAAAGTTAACCTTAACTTTAACCTTAACCTTACATTATAGCCAACATATGCTTGAATAAAGCTTAAGGTAAAACGAAAAAGGTACCTTAACCTTAACCTTAACCTTAACCGTAACCTTAAATAATAACCAACATATGGTTAAATAAACCTTAAGGTTACACGAAAAGTTAACCTTAACTTTAACCGTAACCTTAGCCTTAAATAATAGCCAACATATGCTTGAATAAAGCTTAAGGTTAAACGAAAAAGTAACCTTAACCTTAACCCTAACCTTAATCCTAACCTTAACCGTAACTTTAAATAATAGCCAACATATCCTTCAATAAAACATAAGGTTAAACTAAAAATTAGAATGAAAATTGACCTCAACCATAAGCCTAACATCTAACTCCTACATGTACCTATCTCGATAACGATCAGTGATACCGTCATCTTAGACAACCTTGAGTATTCCCCACGGCTACAACTGTTATGATATAGCCGACGTATCTTTAAATAATGCTTAAGGTTAAACGAAAAATTAACCTTAACCTTAACCTTAACCTTAACCTTAACCATAACCTTAACCGTAACCTTGAATAATAGCCAACATTTGCTTGAATAAAGCTTAAGGTTAAACGAAACCTTAACCTTAACCTTTACCTTTACCTTAACCTTCACCTTAACCATAACCCTAACCTCAACCGTAACCTTAAATAATAGCCAACATTTGCTTGAATAAACGTTAAGGTTACACGAAAAGTTAACCTCAACCTTAACTTTAATCTTAACCTTAAATAATAGCCAACATATGCTTGAATAAACCTTAAGGTTAAACGAATAAGTAACCTCAACCTTAGCCTTAACCTTAA